CGTTTGCTGCTTCGAACGATGGTTCAACTAACCACTACAGCCTCTAGACGGCTGTGACTAATAGTAACGCGAATTCCTTAAGAACTATTGTAGCCGCGTTATTTATCATGCAGTACAACTTACATTATATATTTTTTATGAAACGAAGTTCATCAAATTTTGAAAAAAGTTCACAAATTGGAAAACTTCGTCGTTTCTGAAATAGTTCATCCAATTTGATAAGAAAAGTCTGCCTATTTAAAAAAAATATCTGATTTTGAAATAAGTTCACAAAATGTAAAAGAAGTTCATCAATTTTGTAAAAAACGCTAATAGAATTTTTTTAAAGAGTCCATCAAATGTGAAAAAAGTTCATCGAATTTGAAAAAGGTCCATCAAATTTGAAAAAAAGTTCATCAAACTTGAAGAAAGTTAATCAATTTCATAAAAAGTTCACCAAAGTTATAAGTAAGTTCACCAATTTTCAAAAAAAAATCACCCAATTTGAAAAGAAGTTCTCTATTTGGAAAAAAGTTCACAAATTTTAAAATAAGTTCATCGATTTGACAAAAGTTCATCAAATTTCAGGCAAAGTCCATCGATTTTAAAAAGTTTCGATTAAAAAGAAAAGTTCACGTATTTGCAAACAATTCAATGAACCAGGATGACAAAAGAAAAGGAAAAAAGAAAAAGAACAAGGGAAAATAAAGATTAAAAGAAGGAGAAAGTACAGTTTTGACAAACCCCGTTGGGGTGGTTGCCCCAGCCTAACGTGGTCAGGTGGGTCGCGGGTTTGAATCATGTCCAACATGCCTTTTTTTGCGGGAGTAAACACAAACAAAAAGAACCTAAGTTGGCCGGGCCACCTAACACGCCTGCAGGCGCCGGTTGCAGAAACAGTAGAAATCGGCGCCTGCAGCGCGGGTTTGCCTTATAGCGGGGCCTCCTTATACCCGTCGCTCCCCCGTTGCACCCTTTTGGGCTGGCCCATGTGCAGGGCGCTCTATTTTTCAATTTATTTTTTATTTTTTTATTTTATTTTTTTATTTTCGATTTTTATTTTTCCTATTTTAAATAATTTAGGATTTCAACATGTCTCAATTTTTTTTTAAATTTTCATTTAGATAAAAATGTTCAATAAATCATAAATTTTCCGCATTATTAATAAATATTCGTGATTTTACAAAGAAAAATGATATTCAAAAAATGTTCATGTATTCAAAAAATGTACACAAATTCCAAAGTTGTTCAGTAAGTTTTATAAAATGTTCACAAAATTCTAAAATGATCATCAATTCAATAAATGTTCACTGATTCAAAAAGGTTCATAAAATAAGTAAAAAATTATGAACTAAAAAAGTTGTTCCCCTAATTCCCGAAATTCATTGATTCGAAAAATATTTGCCCATTTGAAAAATGTCCGTGTGTTTTAGAAAAATGTTTACAATGTTTACAACCGTATTTACAAAGAAACCCTGAAGTTGTTGCTATGACCAACCATATTACAAGAAATACGGCTCCAAGTTCAATTGTATACGACAATGTACGACTCCAAGATCAACAGTGATAGACAGTGTTTCTTCTACTTGTAATATGGAAGGGTATTTTTAAAATTATGAACATTTTTAAAATTCTCGCTAATACAAAAAATAAAAATAGAAATAAAGAAAAACAAAAAACGAAGGAAAACGAAAAAATCAGCGAATGTTCTAGAACCTTCCCAAAACCTATGAGGAAGGAGTCTGAAATGGGACGACCCAAGAAAGAATTAGATGTTGTAGTGGGTAAGAACGACCTACACGCCAAATAGGAGGCGCCGGCTATAGCGACGCCCCGCCCGTGCTCGAGCGAGACAGAGCCCATTCCAAAGGTGAAGCCCAAGTCCCTCCCAAACCGCCCAATTGTTTGGGTGTGTTACCCTGGGTAGGCCCAAATGACCCTCATGTTGTCTATTTGACTAGTTGGACCGAGTTGTATCTATGTCCACTACTCTCTAGATAGTCTCTTTTGCTAAGAAAGTGAAGTCGCTTTCTCCCTAATATTCAGGAAATGGGTGACCTGTTGGGAGCTAGCTGATTGTGGTTTCATTCTCGGCAATAAACACATGAAAGTGAAGATCCTTAATTTCCTCCCGGGCAAGCACAACCCTCATTTACATAAACACATGCACGTAGATTATATATCACACAACCAATTCAACAATTAACACAAACCAAAATAAATCAGCAATTCAACATAAACCAATTCAAGAATTCAACACAAACCAAAATAAATCACAATTCAACATTGCAGTTATGCGAGAGAAACTTGGCACTTGTGCTTCGATACTCTGCATCTGCCTGCAGAGATCCCACAGACCACTGGCACTTTCATGGATTGGTGGTAAGTCCAGGGGGTGAGGTTCACCAGAGATGACAAGAGAGGTTTCTACTCCTTGGTGATTCGCTTGGCATGGTCCTTATGAAAGCAAATTAATGCCCGAGTGTTTAACAGACCGACAAGTGGGTCCTCACACCCTTGCCTTCAACATCTTAGAAGAGATCAAGGACTTGATGAGGTCACACAATAGTGTGGGTGGTTTACAGCGTTTTGTGAGAGAGAAGCTAGGTTTCCATTTGTTAGTGTGGAGTGTGTTTTTAGACGTGGTTGTTCGCACCTCGCCTAATACTCTTGTAACATATTATGCTCTCTTCTATAAAAGTAAGGCACGCAATTGGCGTACTCTCGAAAAAAAACACAAACCAAAATAAAATTGAACATTTCATACATAGGTGATAAACAAATGAATCGACCGCCTCCATTGTTGCGCTCTTGATCTCCTTTTTGTTGAGGAACCACCTCTTGCTTTCTTCATCCAAGAAACTAGTGTCATGCAACATGATCATCGACTCCTCTGTGACCCTGGCAAGCCTCACCATCTATTTCTCAATCTCAATTGTCTTCAATGACTTCGCCTTTTCAAGCTCCCATTTTTCCTTTTCTCTTGCTTCTCCATGTCTATTCCCTCCCTCTCAACGCTCAACCTCTCCCGCACCCTCTCCCGGTTGAACTCCATCATCTCTCTTTGCACATCCAAGAAGAGTCTGTACCTCTCCTCCTTCTCCTCTATTTGCTCCTCCATTTTCACCAATGTATCCCCCTTATTGGAAAAGATGTTCGTCCATGTGGCGGACATTTTACTTGTCGTGCCGTCACGCGTGAGCCTATCCTCCTGCCACTTCTTCCCATGTGTCTATTCCTATTTGGAATGATCCCTTGTCCATCTGCCCCTCCACTTGAATCATCATCGTCATCTGATCCAATGGATTGATGAGAGCTTGAGCCATTGTTGTTCTTCATCTTCTTGGCGGGGTTCTTGAGATCTCCATAGAGGGTGCACCACTTCGATTTCCCATTCAACACCACCCAATAATGGGACAAAGTGAATGTTTTTTTTTTCTCAATTTGATGGTGGTGGTAAACATTCTGGGCGACGGTCCACCTTGTTCACGACGGGAGGGACCCCGACGGACTCCGCAGAGCCATTCTCCATGTCGCAGGCGGACAATGGAGAGCGTGTTGATGGCTAGGGCGAAGGAGGAGGTCAGCGACACGAACGTGGAGCAAGGGGTGGAGAAGTGTGACGGTGCAGACACGGGAAAGGGAGGACAGTCGCGCTCGCTCGATCGATCGATCGATCGAGAGAGAGAGAGAGAGTTTGGTTTGGTAAATTTGGAGGGCCTTGGGGTGGGTCTGTCATGTCATATCCAACATGCCTCACGCATACAAGCGCCAAAGTCTCACATGGGCTGGGTTTGGAGGGTCCAATGATAATTCTGTTTGGTCGCACAATTTTTACATGTTTTATCATTTGGGTCGAACCTCATGATATAATCTGAAAGGGAAAAAATAGTTGGAAGTCTTGTCCAGGCTAACACAAGCATATATGTTCATCCTTATAGTAAGTATAACGCTTTTAACTTTTTATTCAGGAAAACTAATTTCTCGGCACCTACTTTTACACAGGAGCCTATAAAATGAGTGATGTGGCCACAAACTCTGGATACAGGATAAAGATATTCATGGCGCAGTCTCATTATGTACATTTATGTCAGAAGCTCGACTGCTTGCTTCGGAGTTGGGACCTCTAAATCTTCCAGTCTTCGGTAAAATCTGCACGAAGTCGTACAGTTTTGCCTACAGCCTTCTGTCCAGATCGTATGATCCATACAGACACCGACCACTCGAAGAGACATAGATGACCCGGAACCAAGTTCCTTCAGCTCGAGAAGCTTTTAGGCGGCGCAATCGTACCTCCCTCACCGACAACAAGATCTGAGCACCACAAGAAATTGACATGTCCACACTCCAGTTGCAGAACGGAGTCCTGCAGAATATGGCACTGCCTTAATTCCGATGGATCACCCCAGAGAGCGGAGGACCAACTTGCAAGATCAGAAGGTTGATAAGCCATTGTCAACTTGGTACCTGCACCAAAATGTAACACGAAATTTAATGTTGGAGAACCTAATTAGCGCACGTGCAGCAAGTGGCGAGCCAGTGCATGGTTACTCCTGCAACAACACAGGGAACACGAAGATCACCCTTAACCGGAGCATACAGAATGATGCACTACAAATCCAAAATCGCTCAGCATAAAGTTTGCAGTGTTACTAAAGGATAGAAGTGAGAATCCCCCGCAAAGAAAGGAGAGCAAGAGGTGGGAATTCACAGTATAGCAAATCCGTTTTAATTTTGGAGATGAACCTAGTAATTTAGTTTCTGATATCAAAAGAAAGTGTCAGATAAGAAGGAACGAATATGCCCACCCTTTCTGTCCCTTTCATCAGTTGCCTCTTGTATCAACAACTATGCAAGATACTAGAAACTACATGCTTTAAATGCTGGAATAAATAAGAATGATATGCTTCAAGATCTTTTCACCTCAGAAACACCAGGGAAGTGTACATCCCTGGTTGACTGTCTGATGGTTACCGCTTCCATTGTCTAGATCTCAGCAGAACCACCATGTATATAAAGTGATGATACCCCAACCTGAGAACTGCAAGCTCATGAATCCTAGCTCAAATATGTCTTCCATGGAGGAGCCTCTGCTGCCTCTATTCCAGCGTAATCAGAAGTATTCTTCCTCCAAGCAAGACAGAAGCAAATCATGCGATGTCCCAAACAGGTGTGCACCTTCCTTTCATCCAGACACTAATGTCAAAGCTAGCCTCAGTACTCTCAATCATCCTCCAGCCACTAATGAAAACACCAATATAGTATCCACGCCGACTTTACAGCGGGTGCATTCTTCACCTTCTATATTCACATCAATCAAAGAAGCTCCCTGTGCACATGAGCTTGGCAAGCAAAGCCCTTCTGCACAATACACACCATCAATTACAAGGCAAGCTATTGTTAGTGTCATCCTATACATCTCAATAGGAGTCACGGTGTACATGACAAATGTTGAAGGCTTCAAGGGGAAATCCACGTTTAAGTTAGTGGATGCCCTGTACTTCACCATCATAAGCTTGTGCACCATTGGGTATGGTGACATAGTCCCTTGCACTACCTTCACAAAGGTGTTCACATGCTTGTTTCTACTAATAGGTGTTCGCTTTGTTGACATTATGCTAAATGGACTGTTGACAAATGTGCTAGACAAGCAGAGAACAGTCCTACTTAGCACAATGGATGACAATAAGCTGAACAGGGTATTTGACACATACATGATCGATGCTGAAAAGAAAAGGTCAAGAGGGAAGATGAAAGTACTACTTGCACTAGGCGTTGTTGCAGGGACTATCTCAATTTGTACAATCATAGTACATGAGGTGGAGGGCCTAAATTGGATTGACAGCTTCTATTTATCAGTCATTTCTGTGACAACAGTTGGATATGGGGATTATGGCTTCTCAACTACAGCTGGAAGGCTCTCCGCGACTGTGTGTCTGTTGGTGAGCACGTTGGCAGTTGGCAAGGCATTCTTGTTCCTAACGGATCTAAGGATGGACAGAAGGAACCGACGAACTACAAAATGGATCCTCCAGAAGAAAATGGACAATGAGCCGCTTGCTGCAGACCTTGATAACAATGCAGCTGTAAGGTATTGTAAATTTTCCATCAATTACCATGTCAAGGAATTTTGTACTTAACATGCGCTTCTACTCTGCTGCTTATCTCGTATCCAATGATTACATCATATTATTTCCTTATCTGGAAATTAAATTTATCTGATGATATGATCTTTCTTCTTGCACGACAAAGAGCTAATAATTTCTCATTCCTTTTAGTCTTTTACCAAACACGCAAGGAAACAATAAATATACTTGTGATATGCATTGACACCTCAAAAACTTACATGGAAGTTACTTTTCATCAGTTCGTCACAACCTCTACATCTTTCTTCTCATTAAATTAATTTAAAAGTATGTTACTATGTCTTACAGGGCAACTATGCCTTTTACGTTCAAGCAAGCTACTTCACATGTGATTAATGTGTGATTGCCTTCTCCATATGCAACAGCAAATCAGATTTTATGATCTACAAGCTGAAAGAGATGGGGAAGATCGACGAGAAAGATGTCACGATGATCTCAGACCAGTTTGATCAGCTAGGCCTTGCAAAATGTGGAAATGTTGCTCTTGCTGACATAATTGGAAACTTATGAGTATGTATTATGAGAAATATATCATACTTCAATGATAGATATCATCTGAACATGTACACGTGACCTATTTAATACCCTTCCATATTACAAGTAGAAGAAACACTGTCTATCACTGTTGATCTTGGAGTCGTACATTGTCGTATACAATTGAACTTGGAGCCGTATTTCTTGTAATATGGTTGGTCATAGCAACAACTTCAGGGTTTCTTTACATATTTTCTCACCCGATTGTATGGATATGTAATTAAGGATACAGGGAAGAACTGGATAGTACGAGTTTTGTGCAGTGTAATTAAAGCAATGGGACAACTTACCAAAGAAAGAGACAGAGCTTGACATGATGAATTCAATGTTTTGTAGTTTGCCATCATCTCAAGCCATCAGATCCACTCTCACTTACTGTGTTATCCGAAATCTTCGCAATCCTGGAGAAGTTAGTTTCTGTAATGAAGCTCAAGCATATTCGGTTTGGGGATGCCAAGAAAAGCCAGATACAGAACATATATTAGTGCATTTGTGACTTTTCGTACACCTCCTTCAAGACTAACCTTTCTCTAGTTTCAGTTATAAGCTTCAATATGGTTGACAATTTGTGCAACTTGTCATTTATAGACTGCTGAGTGTCCAACTCTTTTGCTAATTGGGAACTGGTGTAGTGATCAATTTCACATTGTAATGAACTCAGTTGTGAATCAATATGCTGCACAAAATCATCATATGCAGAATGATCATCCATGATGTTTGTTGGGTCGTGATCCTTGGAGAATGTGAAGCTATCAGCCATCTGAAGTTCACTTCTCTTGGAGTGGCCAGCCAAGTTTGAATCACTAGTCTCATCCACCCGATCATCAATTTTACCGGAGAACACCCTTATATGGTCATTGGAGTCCTCAACATTAGTCGTCCCTGGACGCAACGCGTGTTCAATTAACATATTCTGCTTCACCGAAATAACCTGGATACAACAAACAATGTTTCAGATATATAGACGGATGAAATTTGGAGAAAATTTCCTGAGTGGGAATGGTTTATGTGAGATGTCATTTATGCGTTAGTTGTTATTTGAAGGAAAAGCTTGTAAAATTCGTAAGTGATGTAATCAGCAGAATGATCACAAGAACAGTGTGACATTGTCTAATTAAGTATGACTCGGCAAAGTATCATGGGGTTTTGGTACAAGT